CAGTTGTTTATTTCATAGTTCTTGCCTCAGTCTTTTGCCATGGGATTTCCGTCCCGGTAATTAAAATTGGGAAACATGTAACGTTGTCGAGGGCAGCCACTATTCAATCCTTATGTCAACCAAATTATGCGGCAAGCACTACTATAGTCATACCAGATCAAAAGAAAAAAGGAGATCAAGTTATTAAAATTGCGGACCAATTAACTATTAACAACGAAACCAGCAAAAGTGAAACTAGCAACTTGGATGAAACTATTACGGTTAAAGAAACGGCAGATAACAAAGTTGATGTCAACTTAGATGAAACTATTACGGTTAAAGAAACGGCAGATAACAAAGTTGATGTCAACTTAGATGAAACTATTACGATTAAAGAAGCGACAGATAACGAAGTTGATGACACTTATGACACTAAAGATACGGGCGAAAATAATTCAGCTAAAGCAGGTTTAGAACCTAAAGAGGCTTATGAAGAACATGAGAATGTCGTTATCGAAGAAGATGGAAATCGCCATGTTTATGTTACTCCAAATCCACCATGACATATTTATAAGCAAAAATTTTATCTCTATTTATTTTTTTATTAATAAAGGAAATCAAAAAATATTATTATACCCATTAAAATCATTATACTGTACGATAAGTGTATTATTGTAACAAATTATCATGTCGCACCTAAAGTTGGCATCTGGCACCCGCTTGAAGTTGTCACCTGACTAAAATCGCTAGCTACTTTTTTGATACACCTAAACATACCCTAAAATTTTACTAACTTTTACTATAATAACGTGCAATTCTATTGGTTAATTTTAGGTGTATCAAAAAAAGTAGGTGCAGAAGTATCAAAAATGTAGGTTTTGCGCTAGCTAGTGTAGGATGATCTAATTTCGGGTGCCAGTTTCAGGCATGACATGCTCGATATAATGATATAACGAAGTCCAAAAATTGATCAAATGCTTTCGATACATAGAAATCTTCGGATATTAGAAGGCAAATTTATATATTCTAACACATACTTTTTGTCATATAAAAAATTTTGCTATGTTCAAATATTCGCTATTGAGAAATTCGTTACCTCGAGCTTTAACTGTACTAACAAATTGAACTGAAGA